TGGGAGTGCTTCAATGAGTCCTGACCCTCTTGAATAGTGTTTGTATGAATGTTTACTTGTAGAAGGTGTGAAAACACAAAAACAACCAATCACATCCAAGGTCACCGAGGGAGATGATTAATAAACTTCTCATGGAGAAATCTAAAAGCTCACTTCAAATTGAAGTATGCGCTGAAGATATTGCCTAGTAGGAGGCAATGAAAGCTTCGCAAATTAACTATCCAGCTCAGAGAACACAACCATATCAAAAACAGTTGGGCTTAACATATGAGGGGTGCTTGTCGACTTATGACTGTTCCAACGACTAAGATTTTTGGAATAGGGAGACCAGTTTTGGTGCAGGACACATCCTGATCAGTACTATACTTAAATTTCTACATGTCATTCCCGTAATATCATCACCATTGAATTTGAATTGGACGAAAATCGGTTCCATGCCGATTGTAATTATATTTGGATTTTTGCATGCATTTCTTGCCGTACTTGTTGATAAGAGTTTATGGGTGTCCATTTTATTTCAAGCATCTTTGAAGCAACATGAGTTCACTATCTAATTCATCTGCTGAACTTATGAATAGGTTACCCTACGGAACAGCGTCTTCACCAACGTTCGTTCGTAGCTAACTGGGCAGAGGCTGCTAACATTTACGTAGAGACCACTCCAAGTATCCTTGCGATAAACTGCTCTCCCGAGTATTCTATCTTTTCTTCTCTCCAAGTTACACTGTCCTGGAATCAGAAACTTCAAACATCCACGTGTTCCATTGTGAAATTGATACTTTCAGGTACAGTGTTGAATAATCCAAGTAGATACGATGCATTACTCATGCTATTGAATACAATGGATTTGTCAACTACGTATCTGAAGTAGGCTATTGTTTTATCGATTGCACATTTAAGCATTTACTGTCCAAGGCTAGCCATAGAAATGCCTGTCAATAAACAACCAAATGGATCACCCCTCGCCACTCCATCAATTTGGCAGTAAGTTCTGTCATTGAACTGGAACTGTATACTTTTGGTACTCAATAAAAGTAGTTGTAACGGAGAAGATTTTTAGCTCAGGTGGATGATTTTGATGTAGTTGTGTTCTCTGAGCTAGGTGGATGGTTTATTTGCGAAGCTTTCACTGTCCCCCCTACTAGGCAACATCTTCAGTGCATACTTCAATTTGAATTGAAGTGAGCTTTTAGATTTCTCCACGAGTAGTTTATTAGTCATCTCTCCTGGTTGATGATCTTGATCGTGATTGGCTGTTTTTGTGTGTTTTCACACCTTCTAGGCTACTTGTATTGGTATTGGTGCTGATTGTTTCCTTGAGCTGATGATGTTTGACCCTTTGTGTGTGAGATTTCCTTTCAATCGACAAGAAGAAAATCAGGGAGAAATCTAGAAGCTCACTTCAAATTGAAGCATGAGCTGAAGGTGTTACCTAGTGGGGGGAAATGAAAGCTTCGCAAATAAACTATCCAGCTGAGAGAACACAACGACGCAATAAAATAGCAGTTGTTTCAACTTAAGTGTTGGTAAAGGGAGGAGATCAGCATACTGACAGATGATATCTAATGTTTTATGAAGAGGAACCTGTGTGAAAAGAGAGGTCTTATCGAAGGAGATCAAAAATTTATCACATACATTGGGTTGGATAACGTTTTAACGAATTAGAACGGATATGTTTAGCCAGTTATTGTAAAACGGGTTCTAACTAACGGACGACTTTGTGGAAGGGTGAGTTCATCATTCATAAAATGAATCTGATAAGACAATTCCGTTTGGGTATCTTTAGTAGGAACCTCGCCTAGCCGGTACTGAGTCAGGAAAAAGAAGAAAGGTTGAGTGTGAAGCTATCGATCCTACTCCAGAAAACCAAATCATAAGAAAAAATAACCTTATTATTCGCTGGAATCGGAAAGGATAGTGGTAAGGTTTTTGTTATGTATGAGATATTAGGACCTTGTAGACTACGAGCGAATGTAACTTAATGCGCTGGCTAAACTGTCCTAATCGTACGTCAACAACAACAACAATACCGCCGGGCACGCAAGGCAAAGAAAGAAGACTGGACGTTGATACGAGAGCTTTTACTGTCTCTAACAGCAGTCGAAAATGTTAAACAAAAACTCCGTATTTATACAGTTAGGAAAATCAATGTCACATTTTAAAAATATTAACAAACCATGGGAATTCAGTAATTAAAATCAATAATCACGCAGATGCGGGAAATCAATGATCATGCAGGTGTGGGAAATAAATAATGAATATTGATGAGTCACCTGTGTATATATCAGTTTTGTAAAGGCTTCCCTGAAAACTCTGAAAATGTGGTATTCATGTATCTAGTACGAAGCTAAATTACACTGAAATTGAGTCATTCTCATCACCTAGACTCGAAGTTCCACTTCCTGAGAAGACTTGTGAGTAGAAAGGATACAGAAGCCCAATGGGAGAATCTATTCAACCGGTTAACTGACTTACATCCCATTAAATGACAACACAAAAGGTTGGTTAAAATCGAGATTAAGTGATACTTCCAGTCAGTTCATTTCTTCGCCAGTTTCCCAGTTTAGAATCTTGTTTAAAGAACATTCAGCTGACAGGAAATGAGCACATTGTCATAATACCACTAAGTAAAGCTCTGGACACCGTCGTGATGAATAATATTGGCTATTCCAAGGTATTGGACTCCATTCTTAACGACGCATCAAAATTCTAGATTGGTAGCCCGATAAGAAAGAAACAACAGATTCTACAGAAAAGAAGATTATAAAAGCACACAGAGAGCTTTTGAAAAACAAAGTGATCGAATAATAGGGGTAAAACGACTTGAAGCTAAAGGAATGTCATCTTTCATATATGTATGGTTTACTAAAGATATATAAGAATAATTGTCCAACGAAACCTATACTGTGAGTGATGAATTCACCCTTTCACCAAACAAATATACAGACGCTTAGTTCAATTTAGATTTCCCCGTCGGCTGATTGCACCGAAGTGCTCGGTGCCAGATTGACATGTTGGTTCCTTGTGCAGATGCTTTGACGATATTTGGTCATGTAACTTGAAGTTACTGGGTTGATGGTGACTAGTAGTGGAATCTAGGATGCGCATTTCGTCCTATTTGGGACTTATCAGTCAGTGGTAATACCTGCACATCCTGGATTCCACTGCTAGTCCCCATCCTTCAGTTGCCTTCAAGTTAGATGACCATGCATCGTCGAAGCATCTGCACAAGGAGTCCACATTTCAACCTGAGACCGAGCACTTAGGTCCAATCAATAGATGGGAAAATTTAAATTGAACAAAATAAGTGATAAGACCCGTTGCGCAACTGGTGGCTCCCGTTACTTAAGTGGTTAAGTGAACATTGCTTTGGCATTTGAAACTATGGGCACTGAGTTCGTGCCTCAGCGAGAACACCATCAGCCACTGGGAAATGCAGGTACATCACTGGCTGACGAGTCCCAAAATGGATGAAATGTGCATTGTGGTTGGATTTCACTGCTAGTCACCATCCAACAATTGACTTCAGATATGCAGATGGGTTAGACAGAAGCTGAGGAGACCACTGAGTGACATCACACGCCAAACGATCACTCCAGTGGAATCCGAATGGAAAACTACGATTCTGGTGTGAATCCATCGATGATACGGAGGAGATCGTGTAAGGAGGAAATGGAAGCCTATAAGTAATCGTGTAGCGAGCTAAAAAACTCTAATACGGCAGTGAAATAGGGATCTGTTGTTGAAGCCCTATTTTCCACTGAGAACCAGATGGAATTATAATAATTATAACAGTTTTATACAACGAAATTCACTCATTTGTATTATAACTATTAATATTTTTCCCTTGGGTTCCTAGTGGAACATAAGGCTTCAACTACACGTCTCCACTTGCTTCTGTCTTATGCTGTACTTTTCACTTGCATCCATGTTAGTCCATACTGTTTCAACTCTTCTTCACACGATCTCCTCCATGTCACCCTTCGACGTCCCACTCACCACTTCCCTTTCGGGTTCCACTCGAGCTATGGCCTGACTCGCGATATCACCCAGCGGCCTCCTCGGCGAGTGTCCAATCCATCTCCACTTTCTCCTGCATATTTGTTCAAAGATTGGTTCTTGTTTTGTTTGTTCCCATAGTTTCTTGTTGGTTCTTGTTCTTTCCGGCCATCTGATCTTCAGTATAGAGCAAAGACAGTTGTTGATAAAGGTCTGCAACAGGCTGTTGGAACTATTCTTTGTGACCCGCTAAGTTTCTGATCCGTATAGCAAAACTGACTGACTTGACGTTTGTATTGAAAATCTGAATCATTTTGTTGTTGATGCTGAGTGACGAAGATTTCCAGATTGGTTTCAGGTTGATGAATGTGTTTCTCGCCTTCCCGATTCTCGATTTGACATCCTCGTCCGTTCCTCCTGTAGTTGAGACAATGCTCCCTATATAAATGAAGTGAATGAAGTAACCTCTTTCAAATCCCTTCCGTTGATGGTGATTGGCGCTGGATTTTGCTGCTGTTGTTGTTGGTTGGTTATTTTCATAATCTCCGTTTTGTCTATATTCACCTGGTGTCCTGTCTTTGCTTCTTCTAGTAATCTAGGCGAGGTTCAATCATTTGTAGGCTTATCCAAATATTGTTTTTTTTATTTAGCTTAATAAATGCATGTATAATCAATTTTTGTGTAAAATAAATGAAGAAAATGAGGACATTAGCAAAATCTACATAGATAACCAGAATGCAAACGTCATAGTATAAAAGAAGGGAAAAATTGTTAAACAGACCCACATTTCACAATGATTGGTTCTTTCAAAGCACCTACCATGCAAATGCACAAACAGTGTGCTAGAACTTCTGGATAGATGTGATGAAATACATTCACTCATTCATTCACTGATACAAATCACGTTAATATTAATAATAATAATAATCATAATAATAAAAGATGGAGAGGAAACTTTCAAGTTCTTAGTGGTTTTGTAGGAATTTCCTATTGTAGGCAGGCAGACACAGGTAAGATAAGATAAGGCAGGATAAATTTTGAACAGCCATTCCAAACCCTAGTGTTCAGTTCCCGTCTGCCTCTCTCCCTCTCCTTTTCTAATCCTAGGGTATCAGACAGACCAGTATAGTAGTAGTAGGTAAGGGTAGGCAATCTCTCTTCTACAACGATAGTTTCCTGTCCACCATTACATGATAGATAGATAGATAGATAGGTAGCAAGGATAGATTCTGATTGTGAATGGACATGTCTAGATCACAAATTTATCGATCTGAGGCATTGTAGGTAGGTACGATTATGTGTGTGTGTGTGTGCACATATGCACATATGTAGGTATGTTTCCAATGTTCACGCATTCGTTATTAAACCTTTATACACATCGGTTAAGAGACACTAGCAGCATTAAAACAGATTGATTTCGGCGCTAGCGTTGTCTTCAAATTTCACTTCACATTTTGGAGTTTAATCACAGTTTTCACACTTGATTAAAGCAACAAAATACAAAAAACACTATCTATCTTTCTAGCATTATATATATTTTATCTATCTTTTTGATCATACAATATAAAAATGGCAACTCGAACACAGGATTTCGGTATTGATGTGGCTATTTCTAGAAAGGTAAGCTAATTTATTGATTTTTTATTTCTACTATGTGATGTATTGGGTATATGCGATATATTCATTATAATAAAGGTTGTTTCTGTGTTTCTCAATGAATGAAAAACTAAACGATATTGTTTTTACGAGTTGATCACGGACTGATATCAGTTAGAGAACCATTGAATACCAGGGAGTACTGGACAGCTGCTGTTTCTTCCTAGTTTGGGAGTCATCGGCAGTACGCAATCACTGGGATTCGAACCCAGGACCTTCCGGTTACAAGGCAAGCTCGTATACCAAAATTAATCTGATGCTCGCTAGTGACTTACTACAGGATGGAATTTCCCGGAGTTCTAGTGAGAAGTCGTGACCAGTGAGGTCCAATTAAAAACGATATTGTTGTTTTACTGACGTTTCGCTATTTAACGCTGCTGTTAATAGCATTATCAAAGTAGTAATATCAAAACAAGAATTTAAAAAACCTCAGAAAACACACCTCAAACAAATATCTACACTTGAGATCATCACATTCCATCAATGCACAGGTATCAGTTGTTTCAGTTCTTCTTAGACGAACACACTCTTTGATATTAACGGATGAGACGGAAAAAGAAGAAGAAGAAATATCAAACATTACTGAGACTAGTTAAAGCAATAAAAAGACGTAATTTGCCCGAATCGTGTGATGTTATATTTGCGCAACACATTTCGAACAATCTGATCAAGTTAAAAGAACATATTGAAGGTCGAAATAACAATGAAGACCACTAAACCAAATAACAGAGGTAATAGTGCATCTGCCCTGGCTAGTATCAAAACAAAGTTTACCAAGGAAGGTGATTTAGTGTGATGACGAATTGTTTTTGATGAACGCATAAAGGTGGTTTAAACTTCCTGTTTGCTAGCTGGGGCTTTCACAAACTTTAGGATACGCCCCAAACACGTTTTATAGATCGGTTTAAAAGATCTGTTAACGTCAATTTTATGTCCTGTCTCTATAATATGTTTCGCATTAGAGGAACTAGATCTCCTGTTTTCATCATTATTGGGTTCTGAAGATTCTATTCGCTCCTGGAGCCATTTATGAATATGCTCTGAAGCCAGCCCTTACTTGCAGAGATCGATGACTTCTCTCTATGTATGTGCGTCCACACGTACATTCAAATTGGTAAATACAGTGGGATGTGACGTCATTTTTCGCATGTTCAAAGGGCTTAGATAGATATATTGGCTTCACATTCTCACTTATTATGATATCAGCTGCATAAAAAGTCTTTTTAACCACAGCAGCATTCAATGCCTCATAAGTGTATGGTCGTAAGCTGCAGTTCGTATTTTCCATAAAACCTGTTATGATTACCCAAATGAAAGATGAAGTACGTAGGCTAACCTCAGGAACGCCTACCAGTGTGATTAACTAAAGAGAAATGTTGTTCAAATCACCAACAGTCCCATATTAGACCGCCTCTTCCAAATATAGGCCACAATGCAAATGTAGCATTGAAGATTCCTTCTCTATCACCTATCGAGTGTCGAATAATTCATGAAAATAACTCTAGATCTTGAACGCTGCAAACATGAAAGGTCATCGCATTTCGCTTAAATCATCTGGAGCTCTGTGTGGAAAAGAAACAAGTCCAGCAATAGTGTACTAACATGACCTGCTGTTGGACCTATAATTTCACAAATTTCAGTGTTACCTCACATAATTTATTTGATATTTAGCTTAGTGTTATATGAATGCATATTATCTCTAGCTGAAATGTAATCTATCGACATTACTGATTCAATATAATTTAAAACGATTATCTTGTTAATAACAATACTTCCTTAGGCTACAGGATTCCATTATGAGCTGACATAGGTTAGAGAACCATTGGAGAAACTGCAGGGAGTACAAAACAGATGTTTCGTCGGCCTAGTTTGGGACTCTTCAGCAATGCTGTCATCTAAATGTAGAACCAGATGACGAATTTATCGAGAAGAATATTCTTTGTTCATTAATATCAGTTTTTTAGACTTTTAAATGGGTTTCTTGAAGTGAGTAAATGAAAAACCAGTCAGCCGGAAGTTAACAGTTATACAGAACGAGCTCTAATTATTTCCTTTTTCACATTTATTTTTGTTATTTTGTTATATTCTACTGATTGGCTGAAATGAGTAGCTGGTAAACCACTCACATCAATCACTGGTAGTACTTGTCAAATAGACAAAATGAAGTGATGTAAACACCGAATGGACGTTTAGTCACTTGCTTGAGCGGGTAATATTGGTTGATGTGAGTGATATTCAACCACTTATATGCAGGAATCAATAGTAAATTACATCATACACTTATGTTTTCTTTCTTGAGTACCATTTGGTTGTATCATCAAACAGACCACGTACTGTGTAGTCTGAATAATTCCAGTTTCCAAAGGAAACTTCACCTCATCAACTGTGTAATTTGAAAGTCACGAATTTGATTCCGTGTTGTTTTTTTGACATGGTTTAAAATAAGCTTCTATAAATCGGTAGGCAGACAGGCTTGAGTACATTGTGTGATTGGCGGCCTGCTTAAATCACTGGGCTACCTAAATATTCTCTCCATCAAAATGCATCGTTTCTACCCTGTTTTTCAAGTTGTTTTATTCTTCTAATTACTATAATAAGTCACAATCTATACTCGCGGACAATTTCAAATACATTTATACCTACTGATAAGAGTTTTTTGAAGGAAATAGTGGAAGAACATTGTGCGGTAGTATTGGAACATGTGTCGAGAGAAACAACATTGCTTCAGGAGATATGTTATCGATTTCAGGCAGCTAAATATAAGAGTGGAAGAGCATAAACAATGTCTAAAGATGGTTCCAAAGCCATGTGCAGACTTAAAGAAGCTGGAATACAGATCAATGATTGTACTGCATTCGATAGAAACGGGACACAAAATCGACTTTGATAGGACTAAGGTTCTATAAAAAGGTTTTGGTTCGTTTAAAGTAAGACTGACTAACTGCGCAAGCCCTACATATACGGGTGAATACCAACAGCCTGAACAGATGTGAAGGTGTTATGCTAGCTGGTGCATGGCAAATCCGGATTGATAAATAAAAATGTATATGTATCAATAATTAATCATACCTAGTCTAAATTCCTGATTCCTTATATCTTCTTATAGAGAGGCTAACAAATGATTTACAATTGTTCTCCCATGCACACACCCCTGTACCTATATACTTTTTCGTATTCAGTTATCTACGACCATGAACTTTTAGTCGAATGTAATCACTAACATATATATATATATATATATATATATATATATATATATATATATATATATTAGTCAGAACACCAAGACCCGCTCTCCAACTCGCCCCTAGGAAAGACATGTACATCAAACTACCATATATATGGTTATACATAAGTGTATTAGAATTACATAATATGATGAATAATTTAATGAATGAGTTGTAGTCAATAGGCACATAGAAACGCAGGAGAATATGGAGTAATGTAAGAGTCACGAGGAAGTACAAGAGTTATAAGGAGTTCGAAAAACCAGCAAACAAACGAAAATCGAGTAAGTAGAAGTGAACGAGACTTTTATCATGTTGGTAGGAGTGGTTGGATGATTTTCTTTTGTGTATACATAACTCTGGTTTTCCCAACTGAATGGCTAAGGCTTCAGCAATGTAGTGGAGACGAAAGCGTATTCAGTGTATTTGGCAGATTGTTCTTCACTTTGTAGATTACTTTGAAGGAGAAGGCGTTTGCTGAGATGGATTGAGCAGCTATATTGCTCATTTGACGCGTTTCCTGTCTAAAAGCGTTCAAGAACAGCATCTCACATGTTTGCAGAAAGGTAGTCGTAGTTGCTGTATAAAGAGTGTGATAATCAAGCTCATTGTCAACCAACACGGGTCATTCCACCTCAACAAACTCCTTCTGCTTCAAAGTAATCTACAAAGTGAAGAACAACCTGCCAAACACACTGAATACGCTTTCATCTCCACTACATTGCTGAAGCCTTAGCCATTCAGTAGGGAAAACCAGAGTTATGTATACACAAGAGAAAATCATCCAACCACTCCTACAAACATGATAAAAATCTTCTTGATTTCTACTAACTCAATTTTCGTTTGTTTGCTGGTTTTTCTAACTCCTTATATCTCTTGTACTTCCTCAGACCTCTCAAATTACTCCATATTCTCTGCTTTTCTATGTGTATCGTGACTACAACTCATTCATTAAATTATTCATCATATTACGTAATTCTAATACACTCATTCAACTCCTCTTTTGCATTGATTAATATTCACGACTGTGTTTGTGACAACTCATCACTTTTTTTTTCATTACCCTGTTTCATGGAAAAGAGGTTGTATGTAAATGTAATTGTACATCTGTAGAGAACTTAATAGGCAGCTCCATAACGGTACAAAATTTCAGAATAAAGGTCCAAGTTAACGAAATGATATTGTAACAGTATATTGTAAAAAAAATTACAGTTAACGAGTTACAGATATTAACTGGTTACTTGTTGATACAGTTAAAGTCCGCTGCTAAAAATTATTAATATAATCCATACAAGCGTTCACTGCTGCAGTCGTGTCTACTGGCGGTAGAAGCTGTGCACCGGTTGTAGAATAGTCTTTTGAATGAGGATAAGAGGTTCCTGCAATATCCAAAGGACACAACACAATTAGTAGTGAAGCGAATAGACAGTATGGACCAATGAGAAGACGAAGTATCGAGCAGCACACTTTATTTTGGATTGTATTTCGAAGTTATGTATGTTTTAGAATGAAACAAAATTCATGTACAATGTTTCTATTTGTAACATCTAACAAAAAAAACTATACAGTTATATTGTTCCAGACTCTAGACAGCTGCAGAAGGGTATGAATTTTCTGGAAAGAGCATCTTTGCTGAACGCTTGTTTTGTTTTCATTACTGTCTGAATAGGGGATTATTCATGAGTATTTCATCCCTAGACTTCTTCTTCATTACCATCATCACCTCGTCTCAGTGAA